GTCTCCTGACTCTGGCTCTGGAGCTTTCAGGAGCTGACCTCCAGATGGCCTCCGTATTGAGCTTGGGAACCCCTGGTTTTCACTTTTATGCTGTTCTCTGTCTCATGAGTCTAAAGCTGAGAAGCTTGCCTTCGTCTGGCTCACAGCATTTCAAGCTCAATACCTCTCCCCCTTTTATTTGCTGTCCACTACCTAGACAGCATTGGCGAGTTCCAGAGCCTGTGCTGTGTTTCAGGGTGCCAGCAAGTGTCCAAGCTCTTTCTCCTGAGTGTGTGTTGGGGGGCTCTTTTCTAGGATACCTCTTAGTACTGATCCTCTGCAGCAGATTCCAGCTGCAAGCTTTGTCCCTTTCCCCAGAGAAAGGTCACCGTGATCCTTCCTACACAGTCAACAGCTGAAGAGACATGCCGGGAATCTGGAAGTCTGAAGTCTTCAGTGGGCTTCCAGGTTTTTTGTTTTTTAATCTTTTAAAATTAAATTTATTTTTTTAAAACTTATTCACTTTACATCCCACTCACTGCCCCCTCCCAGTCACCCCCCCCACACACACACAGGCACACACAATCTTTCCTCCATCCTCCCTTCTCCTCTGAGAGGGTAGAAACTCCCTGGGTATCCCCCTACCCTGGCACTTCAAGTCTCTGCAAGGCTAGGTGCTTCTGCTCCCACTGACGCCAGACAAGGCAGCCCAGCTAGAAGAGCATGTACAGGCAACTGCTTTTAGGACAGCCGCTATTCCAGTTGTTCGGGATCCACATGAGGACTAAGCTGTACATATGATACATATGTGCTTGGAGGCTCAGGTCCAGCCAGTGTATGTTCTTCGTTTGGTGGTTCAGTCTCTGAGCCTGACTGTCCAGGTTAGTTGACTCTGTTGGTTTTCCTGTGGTTGTTTTTTAATTTTTTAAAAAAGACTTACTTGTCTTTTTTATTTTATTTTTATCTTCTTTTTTTTTTTTTTCAGTGAGGGAGTTTATTTTGGAAACAGGAAGACAAGTAAGACAGACAGGCTTTCTGGTGGAAATGGGCATTGCATAGGACAAAGTGTGAGTACAGAGGTCCTCTCATAGACAACAAGATGCATTCAACAAGGAGAAAATGGCTGTGTCACATAGAGGTTACATACATAAGAATAGACTCGTGAGAAATGACAGTTGTAAAGAAGGCAAACTCTATGAAAGACTCACTTGGTATGTTGAGATTTTTTTGGGGGGGATTTTTTTTCTTTTTTTTTTTGAACATGAAATGCTTTTATATAGCATGTTTTACAAGGGGAGGGGGTAAGAGGGGTCAGGTGGTGGAAAAGTACAGAATCTTCTTGGCCTGTGCCTTGAAACATGTCATGGTCTATACGGTACACTGCCTTGAATTATGATCTATCTGCTGTTCTTCAGAAGATATGTTACACTGCTTGAGTTATGGTCTCCCTGCTATTCTTCAGAAGATATGGTACACTGCTTTGAGTCTATCTGCAGTTGCCAAGCAGGATCTTGCAGTTGCCAAGCTACAGAGCACATTGTGCAGGTGGGGAAAGGTAGGGGATGAGGGTAAGGGCGAGGGTCCTGGCTTCTGGCACATCTGGATTAGAACTTCTAACAGGAGGCATCACGGGTGATTCATTTTTACCTGGGATGTTGTGTGAATTCAAGCTCTGTTTCTCTCGGTTTTCTGGGGTTGGGTACGGAGCTGCCGCCTGTGACCTGCTCTATGCTCGGGCCCAGACCGGAAGTCCCTTGTCTTTATTTTATGTATATGAATGTTTTGTGTGTTTGTATGCATAGACTTCATGTGTATGCTCAGTGCCTGTGGAAGTCAAAAGAGGGCATTAAATCCCCAGAAACTGGAATTACAGATGGTTGTGAGCCACTGTATGGGTACTGGAAACAGAACATGGGCCCCTTAACATGGTTAAGAACAAGTGCTCTTAACCACTGAGCAATCTCTACACACACACATAAACACACACACACACACACACACACACACACGCACACACACACCACCCAAGACAGAGTTTTTTGTAAAACCCTGGCTGTCCTGCTGAAACTTTCTCTGTAAACAAGGTAGGCCTCAAACTCAGAAATCTGCCTGCCTCTACCTCCAGAGTACTGGAGTTAAAGGCGTGCACCACCACCTGACCCTGGTTGTTTTTAAAGCTCAGTATATAACTTTCATCCAATGGGACAATTTGACAAGTTTGGCTGGATGACTCTGATGGAAAAGGGTAAACATGGCTTCTGCACTCAGCCACCTGTCCCAAAGACAGCAGGGCTGAGCTTTGTTTGAAAAGGGACATCCAGGACCTGGCCCTCCACTACCAGTCACTTCATGTACAGGGATAAAAGGAACATTTCCCACTTAGGAGGGACACAAGTTCATTTTTTACATAAGTCAACACAGAACCCCACTTAACCTGGTTGTAGATTTGCTTTTTCTTCCTTAAAGTACAGGGGTCCCAAGACTCAATTTCTACACCTTACCACTACACACACAGACACACACACACACACACACACAGAGACACACAGAGA